GGGAAAAAGGGAAAAAAAAAAAAAAAAAAAAAAACATATGAGAAGACAACAAACCAAACACCAAGCACCACCAAACGTCACTGGCCTGCACCATAAATGAGAACAAAAGTCCCTGCCTTGCAGGAGTGAAAATCTTATTATGTGGGAAACTTTACAGCTTAGCTGTTTGACTTTGGGGTGTGAAGTTCGTCACCTCTCTGTGATCTGTTTAAACCAGGGGTAGGCAAAATGCAGCCCAGGGGCTGGAAGTGGCCCGCCAGGCCATTCTATCTGGCCTGCGGGGCCCCTAAATAATTTACAAAATTATTATTTATCTGCCCCTTGCTGCCTGTCATGCGGCCCTCAATGGCTTGCCAAAACTCAGTAAGTGGCCCTCTGCCGAAAATAACTGCCCACCCCTGGTTTAAACCAACCTAGTGCTGGCTTAGGGCTTGGTGCCAAAAGCTGTGGGGGGACCAGGTATTGATATCAGAGACCTGTCTCAGCAAGGTCCCCTGTGGCATTATCCAAGGGCTGAGACTGAGGTGGACCATGGTCATGGTGAGGTTGGAGGCACACTTGCAGGACAGTAGATATGTTAGGAGCCATGCTGCCCGTGTTACATCTGTTCTGTCAGCCACAAAAAGTTCTGGGTCTAAGTTTACTAGGTTTGTCTCTAGAAAAGGGAAGGAACATTGCATAGCCTCTTACTTCTCTTCATAAGCCACCACAAGGCGAGGGTCCAAGATGTGTTCCTCTGGCTCCCATGTGCTGTATCTGGAGAAACACGAGGAAGGAATATAGAAAACACAAAAACAAATACATGCACCCAACTTCAATAAAATACTTTCTCTCCTGGGGCCACTACCAGTACTGGCCAGGCTCCCTGGAACCTACCTCTCACGGTCACTCTTCAGCACATGAATGGGGCCTGCTGTACCACAGTTACTGCCTGAAGACTCCCCATCATCTGTTTTCTCTTGTACCCCTGCCAGACATTCCTTAAGTTGATCAAAACCCTGGGCTGTCAGCTTGTCACAGCAGATAAGGGAGGGCTTCCTCCACAGGGCCCCTCTTTTAACCGTTAGCAAGTCAGCTAAAGCACTCAGCACAGAGTATCACAAGCTGCCTTCACCACCAAAGGTTTAGCAAGCCTGCTTTGCAGTACTCCTGCCAATGCAGGACACAAACCCAGGTTCCAGAGCACGGTGAAACACTAAACTCTGTGCCAACAGGCCTTGCTTGCAAGGAAACAGGAAGCTGATGCACTCTTCATTGCAAGTGCCTTCACTGGTATTATTAATTTCCTTTGATCACTGAAGCCGAGGGGCTGCATTGAAGTACCACATATTCTCAAACAAAACCAGCACCTTTTTCTTTTTCCAGACCAGTGCCTGGAAACTGAAGTGCACACTATGTGCAAGAAATACAGTAGAAACAGTTTCTGTCATTTTCTGGGCAAGGGCTAAAGTAAAACGTGCATGTGACCCACATGCAGCAGAAGAGTGAGCAGACCTGGCTCCCTTGCTACTGCTACTCAGTTACTTGCTACAAGGAAAAAAAAAAAAAAAAACCTTTTTCCTCTTCATTCTGTCTCTAAAAAACAAGGTGTGTACCTTATTCCAGGGCACGTGATATGCAAGAAAAAACAGTACTTAGGTTGCTTTTTCCAGCTCTTGTTCTAAGACACCTCAATCTGAGGCCTAAAGCAAATGACCCTTCAGACCTTTCAGCCATTTTTTATCCCTCTTCATTTATCCTCCTGCTACCAGAAGTGTTTCCTCTACCAGCTTTTACAATCAACTGTAAATTGGGGAAAGGGTATGCATGTAGCTGTAAGGGGCAGGGCAGCTATCTAACATAAGCCAGATACTACGGCACAGGCCTAGAAGCAGCACTTCTGTGCTCAGTATCAAGAAGCCAGCCTCACAGTGTGAGAAGGCTGTAGGCAAGGGAGGGAGGGAGGTGTGAGTATGAGAGTGAGGGAGGGAGAGAGAGAGAGAGGGAGAGAGAGAGATCAAAGAAGAGAAACTACAACCATGGGACAGAGAGTCTATGAAAGCTGCTTGCTAGAAAATGCTGCAGCACAGAAACACTAAATGCAAGAGAAAGGGCAATTCTGGAAGGCTCATTACTCAGAGGACAAGCGCAACTGGGGAAGAGAGATGGCGTGCATCTGGAATGCCGATCCGAGCAGGGAGGAGGACAGCTTTATTAGGACAAAATGTTCTAGAAAGATCCACGCCCTGAACGCAAAATGTCTGCAGTCCACACAAGGGGGCCCACACTCTCTCTCTGCTGGGGAAGAGAGAAGCAGGACCACAGGGTGCATTTAGGGCAGGGCTGTCTAACTTCAGAGAGTGTGGGGGGCCTGCGGGAGGTTGGGGGTTCTGGGATGCACACCATGCGTGCTGCAGGGACTGTATCGGCTCTCCAGGACCGCTGCTGCATGCAGCCTTCCTGGGAGGCAAGCAGCATGAGCACCCCCTTCTGCCACCACCATGTCAGCAATCCCCCTCCCTCCTTCCCATTGCTGCTGTGTAAGCACCCCAGCCCCCTGCCCAAGACCCCCAGACAGTGCTGGTCGTGGGAGCAGGGAGCTCTCTGGGCCTCCCGCCAAGCTGTCCTGCCCCAGAAGCTCTGGCTGCCGCCACCACAGCAACAGGAGCAATGGGGGGCAGTGGTGGCTGAGCAGGAACCTGTGCACATTAACTCCTTGCAGACTGGATGTGGCCCACAGGCCACCAGGTGGACTGCTTTGATTTAGGTGATTGTGTTGGTACAAGCATCTCTAGGGCAGGGTGGAAAGTGCTGGAGAATGGCTTGTGTTTCCTGGAGGAAGAGCTACAAGCTGTGCGCCTGCACGGAGGGTGGGGGAGGTTTCAGAGTACTCACTCAGGTAGAAAAGAGGGACTCAACTATAGATTTCTGAGAACAGTTCCAGAAACCTGGGCACAGATTTATCAGAGAGATGGAAAACTACTGAACCCAAACCCTGTAAGGCAAGCTGTGCCTCCCAGAGACTGTGGACTCTGCACAGGGTTAACAATGTTTACCCCTCTATTCCCTTTCCCCTCACCCTAATTATATCTCTCGTATCTTTTCGACCAAGCCTCCAGTCCCCTAAGTGCCTGTGAGCTGCCAAAGTCAAGATGCTATTTGACCTGAGGAAGGTTTTCTTCTCTCCCTCTCTCCCAGATGCAGAGATTTTGGCATTTATTCCCAGAATGGGGGGAGGGGAAAGAGTTAGAGGATTCCTTTTCTGGGAGCAGGGGGATTTATTACAAAACACTGGTGGGTGTTTCCTTTTGCCACTGCAGTGAAGCAGGACGCTTAAGCTGCAGAGGAAAACACTGCATATAAAAAAAAAAAAAAAAAAAACATGGCTCAATTTGCCACACACACACACAGATACGCGCACGCACACACACAGAGTCCAGGCTGCAGCAGAACCCCAGAGCGCAGGCGCTCAGGCAAACACAGATCATATGATCTTCCTTCCCCCTCTACCTCCCCTCCTACTTCCAACCCAAGTTGTAAACAAGCTTGTAGCTGACTCAGATCTGTAACTCTTCAGTTCCCCAATTCCAGCACTGCAAAAGACTGATCTGACCGGTGCAACACAGGATAATTTTAGAGGGGCAGGTAAAAATACAGGATGGGAGAGAAGGGGGGGGAGGGGAAGCAGTACTTGCACAGATCCCCTGCCACCTTCCATCAAATCATGATAGGAATAACTGAGACCGAAATCAGCTAGAGCCTGCACAAAGAGGTAAAGAGAAAACCAAGGTGAAGGAATGATATGCTGAAAGGTGAAAAAGTAAACCTATGTACACTGCACTCCTCTCTAGACGTCTGTATATGGCATTCAAGGGCACAGAGCAATAATAGGAAGGAACAGAATGTATACATCAAAAGCAATTAGGAATGAAGCACTGCTAGATAGGAAAGCAATAGGTTTCAAAAAGAAATGAGGTTAATCAATGTTTTATTTGGAAGCATTATGGTAGCAAAGTAAGTGATCCCTCTTGCCTCTCAAACCCATGAAGCTGTGGATTCAAATTCCCAATGCTAGCATTTTGGTTCACTGGGAATTTCAAGGGGTATAGGGAGTAAAAGAAACAAAACAGGAGACAACACTGTCTTTAAGAAGAAATATTTTACATCAAGCTTCAGTCTTGCTGACTACTGACCACGTAAAAAAAATAAAATAGCTGTCAAAAGGACACAGCAACACAGCAGAAAGGTACTACTGCACCAAAAAGCACTATTGGCTAAAGACAAGTGTTCTGACCCAAACAGAGGGTTGTGCTTTCAATGGTGCAGAGTAACTGCCAATCTATAACCCTGAAAGCCTGAATACACAAAGATGAAACTAAGTCTGAAACCAGCAGGCCCAGAGGAATGATTGGTATTCCCTTCCCTAGGGTGAAGCAGATTGCAGAATTTTGTGGTGAGAAAAAATCTCCCCTTCCAACTCCAGGCAGAGACCATATATGTGCACACATTTATGCATGCACCATGGTAAGGCACCCAGGGCCATGTTTAAACTTCTTTTGGAACAGGGAGCCCTAACCTTGTCATTCTGCAAGGTTGGTGCAGTGATAACAAACCTCAGTCTTTACGTCTATCTATATGTGCCCATGCAGCATGCTTACATGTAGATGATCCTATTAGACACACAGCTGACACATTACTTGTACCACAATCTTTTACATCTCAAAGCACTTTACAGACTGTGGACATAGGGGACAGTCCCACCATAGTGAAATGCAGCCACTTCTGGGGAAGAATAGAGCAGATACAAAAAAGCACACAGGAGCATTAAAAAAAACAAAACAAACCATTTATGGGACAAAAGGAAAATTCTCAGACCCATGGGAAAAACAGAGCAGAAACCTTGAACAGGCAACACTGATTCTCTCAACTTGATAATGACCAGTAAATATGAATGGGTAGCTCCTCTCTTGTGAAGTGACAGGGAATCCTTAAGCATAAAAGGCAAGGTTCCCTGTTTGTCTCATCTGAAATATAGCACTTCTAGAAAAAAAAAAAAAAAAAATCACTTCTAAAAATATACTGGGGTCTTCTTAGAATTTCCCCAGAAGGAAAAAGTTCCAGGTCCTGAATGCAACAGCTGTTTAAAAACAAAACAAAAACATCACACACATACACATTCAGCCCCTGTACTTTCCCCTGAAGCTCTCTTCTCTGAAACAGATGGAGACAATCTAAAAAACTACTGAGCTGAATGTTTAAGAGGGGAAAGGATACATGTAAAATACAACTAGACCACTAAGGGATATGGGCCCATATTTCAACCTCAGTCTTGCAGTCAGTCTGGATGACATGTATGGAGGGTAGGCTTGGGACTCGAGTCTTTTTTAATTTTAATTTTTGGGGTGAGGCAAAAGAGAATGTGTTACAAAATATTGTTAAAGCCACTGATGACAAGTAAGGAAAAAAAAAAAGAACAAGAGATTAAAACTTACTTTGGGGGCCATCCTTTCCACTTCACAAGGTATTCTACTTTACCCTAGAAAAAGGAAAAGAAAAAAAAAAAAAGGTGAGCTTTGCAACCATATGGGTGCTGCAGTAAGAGATATTAACAGAAACCCTTTTGGCTTTCCCTACAGACAATACACTTGAAAAAGCTTATTCCCCATCATTACATTTCAAATGAAGTCTCTTCCTGGTTAAAATGAATAATTCAGGGGTTTCTACAGTCAAGCCCTCTCTAATAACTCTGCTATCAACCATGGAGCACAGCTCTGCAGGTGCTTTCTACTAAGTAACTACCATATTGACAGGCAGAGCCCCAACCCCTCTCCAAGTACTGACTGCTCTAGCACCTATGAGCAGCCCTACAACCACAAATCATCAAGCATAAACCAAAGAGGAAGGCACATGTCAGGAGTGCAGGGGGGTAGTTCCCTGCTGCCATTAGAAATACTTTTGGGCTTCTAAAATCTTGCATCTCTTAAGCATGCTCCTTCCCAGCTGCTATATGCTCCACTCACACTCAGCTCTGCTCACAGCCCCTCAGCCTTTTAACCTAAACAAATAGAAATTCAAAAATAAATCTAAAGTTATCAAATGACTTGGTCACTACGTAGGGCTGAGAAAAATAGGAAGAAATGGGGGTGTCTGGAAGCCAGCTGAAGTTCTCTAATGTGTTCTTGTATAACACGTGATCACTGTGCCATGCTTTGGGAAATGTTAAAACAAGTATACATGATCTCATAGTATACATTCACACATAGGTGCCAAAATGGCCAAGACATGGAAGATGTATTATTTAAGAGGCACACAGAGCTTTAACTTCCAGCATGGCTAAAGCATGTGTGGGCATCACACAATTGGTTTTATTTTCCTGAATGGGAGCTCAGTTTTCAAATATTTGAAAACACAGCCTTATAAGGTGCTTCCCATTAGAAGATCTCTAGACCCTTCATGTTTAAGGATTAATCCTTGCAGCAAGCCATGAAGGTAGCCAATATCCTGGCCTTTGCAGCTGGAGAAACTGAGTCACTAACATCAAAACCCAAATTTGCAGAAGCATCTGATTTTGGATGCTAATTCAGATGTTCAGGGGTGCTGCATGCCAAGACCTCCCATTCAAACACTGTTGCTTCTCAGCTCCCCTAGAAAAGTCTTAGTACCCTCAGATAGAGCACCCAAAAACAGTCCCCGAAATTAGTGGCCATTAACAGTGAAAGATGCTAGGAGGGTGCATGTGGGGGCAGGAGGAGGGGAGGGGAGGGCTACTGAACTTGCCCTGTGCCAGACATGGGAAGCCAGCTCTTCCATTTCTCACTTCCTTTAAGCATAAGGCAATGCTTTCCTACACAATAAACCCTCCTGCATCAGGACCTCAATGCAAAATTAGTAAGAGTTGACCCATGCTTTCCTCCATCACCCCACCAACCACACCAGTGTACATGTGCACCTACCAGCACACTCAAACCCCAATGACTGGGAAGCTGTGCAAAAATGACTGGCTTACAGCAAGAGAAGTGAGCCACACTCCTGTTCCAGCAGAGCCTCTCACCTCCACACCCACCCATTTCCACACCAAAGGCAAAAGCCCCTCCATACCAATTTAAGACCCTGAGTGAACTGAAGAGAAACAACATAAGGGGATTTCTTTCCACAGGAAAGAAGGGAAGGACCAGAGAGGGGAGGCTGCCTGGTCTCCAACACGAAGGGACTTCTTTAAGGGAAGGTGCTGAGGGATCAACATGATCTCCTTTTGGGAGGCGGATGTGGGAGTCTCCCCCTCTCCTGGGCCTCTCTTTGCCCTGCTCAGGGCTTGATAAGGAGATTATTAAGGTCCCGCCTTCCCCCTGCAAAGGGCAGCACTCAAAGATGGGAGTGCTCTCCCTGAATACTGGGAGGCAGAGGAGGGGGTGGGGGAAAGCATCAATGGGGTGACCCTCACTATAGGCCCCCCTTGCTTAAACCTGGCAGAAGGAGAAGTGGCCGACAACCGTGCCCTGCAGCTGGACCAGATCCCCCCCCCTCGCGCCCCCTGCCTGCAGCGCTGTGCTAGTACCCACCACGCCCCCCTGCCTGCCTGCAGCCCAGGACCTGGGGGGTGTGTATGTATATGCATGCATATATGCACGTATGTGTGTAGATATATGCATGTATGCGTGTATGCGTATGTGTGTGCTGGGAGAGGTATATAACAGGATCCCCGCCCTGCCCGGTGCTGGGAGCGGTGGGGTGGGCTGGCAGGACATCCAGACACCGGGGGTAACACAGGAGGGCAGGTGGGGGGGTGACAGGGGTCTGCCTCCCCGCCGGTGGCGTGCAGAAGAGGCAGAGGGGCAGGGACGCCTCACCTTCCTGACGCGCTTCTTCCTGATGCTCTCCACTGCGAACACCTGCTCCCCGATCGCGGACAGCTCCATGCGGGGCGGTGGCAGCGGCTCCCCGTCGCGCTGGAGGGCGGGCGGCGGCGGTGCCTGCGGCGGCGGGTCGCTGCCTCCCGC